ACCAATTTCTAACCATATCTTTGGGTTGCTAAAGTCAAAGAATCAATGACATTGTGTGCAATTATACTTCATAATTACTTTTCCTGATTTCACAATAATGGGAGTTAAAGTCTGAAAGAAATAAGGGGCCTTGACACTGCATGACCCTGCCATCTGTGAGGGTGGGGCAGGGAAAGCCTGGAGAACCCCAGCAGGGCCTTGGGAAGTCAAGTCTTTACTAGGTAAAAAAGTCGGCAGAAAAATATTTCCACATAGTATATTACAGAAAACTCTCATCTATTCTATTTTATTGGACATTAATTGCATGTATTAAATAAGGCACATGTTCCTTATAAAATGAATGAATGGATGTTTACCACCTAAATTAAAAACAAAAGCTTTCATGTCAAAAGAAAACAAAATGAATGAAATACTCAAGGAAAAGGACTGGTGTGCTGCTGAAGGGGAAAAACGTACTATATTTTTTATATGAAGCAGAAATACAAGGTCAGAGTCTTAAAATCTCAATGTATTCAACCTCTCAAAATCAGAAATTAATTCCTACTTTGCCAGGTGTTTGCCATTAAAATTTAACTGCTGAGTTGGTTCTTATAAATTCAAAATTTTTATTATATACATAGGATTAAAAAAATAAAGTGAATATTATAACAAAATAGAAACAGACTGATGGATACAGAGAACAAACTAGTGGTTACCAGTGGGAAGTGGGAAAAGGGTCCAAAACAGGGATTGGGGATTAAGAGGTGCAAATTACTATGTATAAAATAAATAAGCTACAAGGGTATATTGTACAACATAGGGAATATAGCTATTATTTTGTAATAACTTAAAATGGAGCAGAATCTATAAAAGTATTGAATCTATAACTATGCTATATTCCTGAAACTTATATAATATTGTAATCTACTGTATTTCAATTAAAAAATAGAGACAGAACAAAAATTTAGTAGGGAACTGGATGTGGAAAGCCTATTAAAAAGAAAAATGTAAAATGGCCAAAGAAAATATTTACAATGAAATATTTTAAGTCAAGCACTTATAGAATTGCCATATGACCCAGCAATCCCACTTCTGGGCATACACACTGAGGAAACCAGATCTGAAAGAGACACGTGCACCCCAATGTTCATCGCAGCACTGTTTATCATAGCCAGGACATGGAAGCAACCTAGATGCCCATCAGAAGACGAATGGATAAGGAAGCTGTGGTACATATACACCATGGAATATTACTCAGCCATTAAAAAGAATTCATTTGAATCAGTTCTAATGAGATGGATGAAACTGGAGCCCATCATACAGAGTGAAGTAAGCCAGAAAGATAAAGACCATTACAGTATACTAACACATATATATGGAATTTAGAAAGATGGTAACGATAACCCTATATGCAAAACAGAAAAAGAGACACATATGTATAGAACAGACTTTTGGACTCTGTGGGAGAAGGCGAGGGTGGGAAGTTTCAAGAGAACAGCATCGAAACATGTATATTATCTATGGTGAAACAGATCACCAGCCCAGGTTGGATGCATGAGACAAGTGCTCGGACCTGGTGCACTGGGAAGACCCAGAGGGATCGGGCAGAGAGGGAGGTGGGAGGGGGGATCGGGATGGGGAACACATGTAAATCCATGGCTGATTCATGTCAATGTATGACAAAACCCACTACAATATTGTAAAGTAATTAGCCTCCAACTAATAAAAAACAAAAAAATGAATAAACACATTAGGCTGTATTTGCTACAACATAAAGTAAAACTTCCTGACAAGATTTTGAAAGTGATTTTTATTATTTTGGCAGTGGTGTCCTATTATAGGTAATTACAGATATACAATTTTTTAAATGTGGTATGTCAAACAAATGCTGTCCCCACAAATCTATTTCATTACAACCAAGTATTTTAGTTGCTGTGTACAAATGGAAAGCATACATGATAAAATACAAAAGCAAGAAAAGATTAAATAAGAGGTTATCCTTGAATTATAAGCATCTACTAAAGTATACCTTTGATTATACAGTTGTGTCATAGCTAAAAAGCATACAAATCCATACATAATGCTATGCAACTATTTGATCTAATATAGATCTAACATGAAAGTATTAAGGCAGTAATAGCATTTCACAGGTAAAGGCTAAGTTCTGAGACATGAAAGCTTTTACATAATCCACAAAACAAACCTGAGACATCTTCCTCTTGTTTTGAAAAAAAAAGAAAAGCAATTTTCTTACTGAGTCAAAGCTTTAATATATAAATGAAGCATTTAATAAACAATATATTTAACTACTGCAATAACCTGGAGTAGACGTTCTGACTAAAATGGTGACCAGCAAATACATTCTTTCTCTGGCAGAAATAAAATTAGATTTTTCTGATTGAGCCTGTAACCTGATTACAGCAGCCCTCAAATTTGGTTATTTTTATTTGTCTGTTTTTGGTTTTGCTTTCCTTCCTTGAACTGGGTTACAAACATATTAAATAAACCAGGAAATCTCCCAGCACTCACCTCACTGTCTTCTTTGTAAACCCGGCTCTCTCATCACTGAAAGCGCCAGATGAATTGAGCCTACGTACATAAAAACAGATTACAGTGCATCTGGATCTGGTTGACTTAATGAGGCATCCAGATTGGTACACGATTACTTTTGCTGCCACAAGTCTCTCACAGTAAGTAGGCTAGGGCAGCCCCAAATTACAGTCTCAGCCCTGCTCAGGACATAGGGAAGGGTAGATATCAATGTTTTGCAATAGCCAATGCCAAAAAAATTGAAACGTATTGGGTAAGCCTGATTTCTACTGTTGACTTTGGGGCCTTTAAAAATACTGGCACAGATTTTTTCATATTCAAGAGATACATCTGTGAGATTTTATTAATTAGAATTATATAAAATGTTTATTAATAAGAATTTCAAATTTTAATACTGCTTCTATACTGTGGATTTTTAAAAATCTACGTGGGATTCAACACTAGCCCATGAAACACTTTTTTTTTCTAAATATTCATACTACAAATTAATTAATTTCTGAATGAGTGGGAGAATGTTTAGCCATCTTTCTTCCTTTTCATGTTTTTCACTCCTTTCTCATACCCCCGCACCGCCCCCCCTCAAAATGATCATACACTCTTTCTTTTGTAATTTTAATAAAAAGATTCCAAAAAGCTTAGTGAAATGTAACAAGCAGTAAGCTTTTAGGACACTTCACAACTTCCTTTGTACATTTATGAGCAATGAAAGTTAAAACTCCAAACTTCACTTTGTACTTTTGCGACCTTCCATCACTTTTTGAAAAAAGGTTTTCAGGTTATTTACATAAACTGAACATATATATTTTGTTCAAGCTTTAGGTCTTCACAGTTACCAAAGTGACCGCCTACTTAAGATCACTAGGTCGTCTTTAATAGCACAGCCGACCTGATTGGCACCACTGAAATCCAATGCAATCCTTGAAACAACCTCCCAAGACTAATTCTGACTTTCCAAAACACAAACACTGCTGCTATCTAAAAAAATTATTTAAAAGGAAAACTAGGTCCATTATAATGGGACTTCTCCACCATGTTATTTAATAAAGAACATTAAGATATTTCGTGTGATTTTTCACTGTTCAGGCAGACACAGATTCAGTCTCCCTGCCTTCCACAGGCTAATGGCCAGATTTCCAGTAACTTCCTGGAACTCAATAATCAGAATGGCTGTAAAATTAAATTAAAATTTTAAGCATGACAAGAGTTTAGAAGTATAACATATGAACTAAATCAACTTGGGAAAGATATTCTGTATTGTGAATATAAGTTTAATAAACATGCTGGAAAGTATAAGGAACGCATCTTTCAGATCCAATTTTGAGATTTTTCAATTCAAATTTCCAATGAGAGAAGAGACTTTGCTTCAACTTGGTTTCCATGATGTCCAAAACAGGTAGTTGATTTAATCAAGCTCATACTATGTATTTGAATCAAAACTGCTTAAATTAGTTGTACTTTTCTAGCTGCTGTGACATTATAAAAGACATTGTTCAACCTTTCTTTGACCAAAATAACTAATACCATTTAATGATAAAATAACTAATACATATTGGTACTGAATAACTATATATATATATATATATATATATATATATATATATATATACATTGTAAACACTATTTGGTGATTTTTTTTAAACCTATGAGATTTATTGGAGTCAGTATGTTATAATCACAAAATTTAAAAGTTTAGCTGAGCTGGTAAATTTTTTTTCCTCATAATTGAAATTCTGTACTTTAGTAACCAAACAAGGTATGTCTTCAGCTTGGAACTTTTTTACAATTTAACAATTTATAGTTTAAAATTCATGAAATCACTGAACCCCACTACAGTTGATTTCCTTCTGAGCAAATAACTTTATGACTCATCCCATAAAGTAAGAGGAAGCACATCAGATAAATCCACCCATAGATATTAGAGCCTAACGAAGCCATTTTATTGAAAAAGTGAGAAGGGAATTTCTGGTCTTTATTTTTTCCCTTATTACCCCAAATCATATCTTACACTGAAATTATTCATCTTGGCATATTCAACAATATTTCCTAAAACTACAATTTTCTATAGAGCATGCAGAACATAATCTTGGATCTCACCCAGCAAGGCATGGTTACTGAAATGCCTTTTTATTAGGTAGTTCTGTGTATATGTACATGTGTGTTTTAACTCCAAAGAAAGCTCCCTCAAGAAATTATTATTAGCAACATTCAATATACGTAAAAAAATTCTTTGGGCCCTTAAGCTCTTTCACTCAAAACATCTCCTGGAGCCCCTACACAGCCCAGGGCTCGTGAGGTACTATTCTGAAGACACATGTGCAAAGCACATCATCTGTGGGTCTGCTGGTTTACGCTCATTTTAGAGACTCATTGAGAAAGTGGCACGGAGGAGCTAAGGGGAAAAAAAAATCCTGTAATTTTACTCCCATCCCCCAACTTGCATACTTATAAAATTTCTGCTTGCCTCTGGCTTCTCACTGGCACTCTTTCTCCGCTTGTAACTTTTGGACAGCACTATCAAGGAGCTCCATAGACTCTCTGAGAGTCACATTGATTTTAAATGACTTGGGTTTAATGGTCAGGCCGTAATTAAAATCCACTTTCGAAGGCTCGTCTGGATTGGCCCTGAAATTGCACTGGTGAGCCAGGATGGAGATGAAGAGAAACAACTGCATCTTAGAAATCTCTTCCCCAATGCACCGCCGTTTGCCCACAGAAAAAATCATCACGCTGCCCGCCAAGTCCTTGTTGATGAGGCCATCCTTGTCTAAGAATCGGGTTGGGTCAAAGTCCTCTGGGTTCGACCACTTCACCGGGTCATGATTCACAGACCACTGGTTAACAAACACCACCGTGTCCTTGGGGATGTGGTAGCCCAAGACGGAAGCACTAGCCGTGGTGGCGTGCGGAATGGTGACGGGCACAAAGCTGGAGAAGCGCATGGCTTCATAAAGAAAGGCCATGACGTAGGGCAAGTGGGGCTGGTCCTCCAGGGTGGGCAGCCGGTGCCTACCCACCACTTGATCCAGTTCTGCCTGTACCCGCGCCTGCACTTCTGAATACCTGTTTGGTGTTAACGGCAGAGAGAGAAAATCAATGAGGAATACTGATCCTTCTTTCATCTAGAAAAAACACTGATCCTTCTTTCATCTAGAAAGCCCATTACAATTTATTTTTATACCACCGTTCTTTAAACTGGCTATCTGAATCAGTAATTGAATTAACATTTCCAGAAAAAAAAAATCTAGAACAGTTTCCTAATTTATCACTGCATTACAAGATGGAGTATAACAGTTATATTTTCTGTAATAAGTCTCACACAGCTCAAACTCTCTTTCCCATCGTAAGTCAAAAAAGGGTCTTAAGTTTTCTCAGCCTGAAAAAGCATGCCAAGGGTAAGGACGACTTCTCTCCCCTGGATAAAGCAGGAAGTGCCGGGGACATACAATACTTTTTAGGAACTAATGAAAACTCATTTCTCTTAAAATCAGAAGAATAAAAGCTTTTAAGCCAATGAAAATGTTTTATAACTTTAACATGCTAATCTTTATACCAATGTAGTCATAAAATTTAATTTAAAAAAATTTTGGAGTAAGGCGTCTACAAAGGCAAAAGCACTTGGGGCCCACAAAAATTAAAATGTAACCGTGAAAGTGAATTCTTATTTTCTTCATCTCCCTAGACAATTCCAAAGAACACAATATTCTCATTTTATACAAAGATCATTGGTATCCTGATAGATAAAGGTACATATCTTCTAACTTTAAAAGCAAATCCCTAATGTTCATGAGATTATGGTACAGACTGTAATATTTATTCACTGTTGCCGATAAAACTAGTACAATCCTTTTGGAAAACAAAATCTTATTACAAAGCAAGATCTATAAGGGTAACTCCTCCCCACTCTTTTAAAAGCCAGTGATCCATTTTTGGAAATGTATTTTCAGGAAATAACTTAGCAGGTACAAAAAAAGTAACCATACTAGCTAAAATTTTAAATATAGCTGAAACATTAAAATATAGCAGAAACATTTAAAATAGCTCACTCTTTAAAGAAATGTTTAAACAAACATGAGAAATGATTGTATAGAGTGATCTGTTACTATGGCAAAATATTATATAGCCATAAAAATTACTAAAATTATGTAGTAAAAATTACTAAAATAAAGTTTAAAAGACAGGGAAATGGCCACTATATAAGTAGAAATGTAAGAAGTTAAAAAAATGTGTAATTATTGCGACTTTGAAAAAAAATTTTAAGTGTGCCTGTGATGACATTATGGGTGATTTTTCCGAGGTTTGCAAACTTTTTTCATAAAGGGCCAGATAGTAAATATTTTAGGCTTTGTGGATCAAACCCTCTTACCTCCCAGCTTGTGCTATGAGGTGGAAGCAGCTATAGACAATACATAAATGAATGGGCGCAGCTGTATTTCTGTAAGTTACATAAAAAATAGGAAATGCAATCTGCCAACCCCATCATATTGTCTTTTCACTAAAAAGAACTTTTCACCAGCTATAGTGAATTGAAAGTGACCCCCAAATTGTTTTATTCCCTTTTGCTGCCCAACTGGAGTACACGGAAAACGATTTACAATTTGGTTTCTGGTAAAAAAAAAAAAAAAGAAAGAAAGGCAGTTTCAAAAGATAACATGCTCATCTAGGGAAGCAAAGGATTTACTGATCCCATTTTGGAATTGTCTTCTTCCTGATCTATTATTGACTCTCATGATGCGATTTCTGCCCCTCCTCCATATGCGTTTCCATGCTATTAATACTGAAAAGTGATTTTAAATATGCACTCCCCCCCCCCCCATTGTGAAAGCAGTGTCTAAGGAAATACAGGATTCTGATGCAGTGGATTCTAACAAAAGAAGTTGTTTTTCTTTTCCAGCTTCCCCTACCTGTGCGCCAGATTGCATAACCAGGATTTCTGGTCTCTGAAAGCAATCAAGACTTGCCTTGAATGAGACATTTGCCCCTGGTGTAAGGATGCCAGATAAAATACCGGCCGCCCATGTAAATCAAAGGCTCATCTTTTAATATAACTATGATCTATGTAAAATTTATGTTATATTTGCTTGATCTGGGGATACCGGAGACATGTTTAATTCGTGCGTGTACAAATTTAGCAGAGGCCCGCGGCTGGGGACCAACTAACCCAGCCGAGCCCAGGGATCCGAGAGGTTAGCAGGTGCCTCCCAGATACTCATCTTCCCTTTCTATAACAGATGCAGCTCAGCGTTCGCCAGAGTTACGGCTTCTCCTATTCTTTACACCGACACCTCCACGCCTAGAGCGGCGGTTTTATGCGCCCAGCACAATCCGCAGGTTTCTGGTCGCTTTCCTAAAGCTTTGGATTATCGGTCCTTGAGGCTCCGCCGCCGAACACTAGCTAAGTCGCGATACAAAGCCTTTAAAGGGCGGTTGGCTTTTGGCTGCGGGGCCAGGCGGCCTCCAGTCAGCGCTGAAGACGAGCCGAGCCGATTAGGCGTGCTTACTTAACATATTTTTTTTTTTACTACGCTGCCCTTTCCTTCGGATTTTGCTTCTCCGTGCCAATGTGGGAGATCGGGGGATGATCTTGGGCACTTAATCTTGCTATTCCAAGTGGTTTCACACAACTTTATCCCCCCTCGGAGCGGTGAGCTACAAGATCAGCGACGCCGAGCCGGCCCGGCACGGTTGGGTGGAGCGTGCACAACGCATCCCGGCCAGCACAGTGCCTTCCAGAGTCTCGCTTTCTGGACGTGGTCTCAGCTTTGGGAGGGGGGGACCTGCAGTGAAACCCCAAAGCCTCCTTGAGCGCTAGTCGCGACCTCAGCACATTCTAATTCCACTCCACCTTTTACAGAGGGAAGGAGGAAGGCCGACCCAAGGCTCGCGGAGGCTTTACCTGGTGAAGAGAACGAGCAGCCACTGCAACGCGGTGGAGAGCGTATCCTGGCTGGCGCCGAAGATGTCCGTGACCGTGGCGGGCACGCAGTCTACGTCCAGGCGCGGGCCACCATCGCCAGGGTCAGCCCCCGCAGAGTGGATGAAAGCGTCCATCATGTCGCGGGGGGCGGCCCCGGGCCGCAGGCTTTCGCGGTGCCTCAGGAACTTGTCTAGGACGAAGTTGCTGAAGTTGCGATTGAGCTGCTCGAATTCACGGAAGGCGGTGCGCACCGGGTTAGGGAAGCGCTGCAGCCAGGGCAGCACGTCCACCAGGCTGCCCGCGCCCACAGTGCGCCCAAACTCCTCGTTGTGGCTGAGCAACTCGCGGAACTCGGCGTCGTCGTGGCTGTAGCGGCAGCCGAAGCACACGGCGCTCATGACGTTGGCCACAGCCACCAGGGTCAGCGGCCGCGGGTCTAGGAAGGCGCCGCCCGCGCTGCGGCGCACCAGCAGCTCTACCAACTCCCGCGCCTCTCCTACCACGTGGCCCTCGAGGACCCGGCGGCCGCGCGGCTGGCGCGTGGAGAAGGCTCGCATTGTGCTGTGCGCCGCGCGCCGCTGCGCCTTCCAGCTCTCCGAGTACTGGCCGAAAGCCAGGCTGCGGCCACCCGACACCACGCGGAAAGAGGGGAAGGGCGGCCGGTCGGCGAAGGCCGCGCTCTGGTGCACTAGCGCTTGGCGGATGGCGCGCTCGCCGTTCAGCACCACCACCCGGCAGCTGCCGAGACGGATCTGGAAGACGTCGCCGTAGCGCCGCGCCAGGCGTGCGAACAAGAGGTGCGGCGCCGAGCCCATTGATGCCGCATTTCCGATCAGCGGCCAAGCAAAGGGACCCGGGGGCGCGGAGCCCGGCTGCCGCCGCCGCTGCCTTAACAGCCACTGGCCCACGTGCACGGCGGCCAGTACCGAGAGCAGCAGAAGGAGCATGGTCTGCTGGGCCGACAGAAGGGTCGGCGACAGATGATCGTCCGGGCTGAGGCCGGTGGCCATGCTGGGGAGAGAAGGGCGAAGGCGTGACACTCAGGTAGGCAGAGAAAGAAGAGGGCGCCCCAAGCTCCTACCCACCTGCCTCGGGCTGCCGTGCACTGTTGGGTAGGCAGGAGGTAGCATGTAGGTCAGATCAGGGCTAGCTCACTGAAGAAGCAGTTAAACACGCCTCTTGCCATCCCAAACCCATCCCCCAAAAGCGAGGGGAAGGGTCGTGTTTCCGCCTATGACCGGATTCCCCCAACCCCGCCCCAGCCACGTAACGGTTCCTGCAATTCAAGTACAACACTGCGGGCATCAAGGTGTGGCGCTCAGTTCCCTCTAAATGCCTACCACCCCGGCCCCTGCGACCCCCGCCACTTCTGATCTGCGAGAACCCACGCATCACAAGAGGCCGCAGGAAGGCGGCTCAGCTGACACTGACCTGCCAGGAGGCGCGGTTTCCAGCAGCGCCAGACGGCCGGCTCGGAGAGCGGACTGGGGCCCTTGTGGGGTTCAAGACCGCACTCTCAAGTGTCTCCAGAAAATCGGAGGCCGGCCCTGGACACCTGTTGCCAGCTCTGGGAACTTCAGCGCCCACTCTGGAGTCTCTAGGGGTCGTCAGAGCCCGGGGCGCTCGGACTGGGATAGGGGTGCAGAAAGGAGTTTTCTTTGCCGAGCCTCGCTGCACCTGAGCCTCGGCAAAGTCAGAGCTTTCTCAACGCGTGAGAGTTGCGGTTGAGGGTCGATGAATGGAGTCAACTGCCAGCCCTCACGCCCCCCGCAAGGCTGACAGCTGGCGTCGCAGAGGCGTGGTCGGCTTGCACAGTCACTCTGGAGAGTAAAGCGCGCCATCCCGCGTCTCTCTTTTTTAAGGTCTGTGAGTGGGGAGGAGGCAACCGGACCTGGCGGGGGCGGGGCTTGCAGGGGGAGGCGGGGCGCCCTGGAACAGGCCTCTCGGACTACGACTGGGGTCGCCGCGCGCTGGTGGTCACGCGAGGCAGTCCCGGCGCACCCCGACGGCCTTGGAGCAGTAGCTGGTGGCTTTCCTGGAAGCGGCGGCGAGGACTTTTCGTTTCCCCCAAATCACTCTTCCTCACAGCCACTCCCGATCGATGCCGCAGTTTCTCTGGACGCGCGCTCGAGAAACCACCTGAGCGCCACTCCTGCGCTCTCGATGGGAGCGCGCTCCACGCCCCGAGCGCACAACCTCTCTACCCTCTCCGTGGCCTGGGCTTCCTTCCCCGAGAGAAAATCGCTCGAGATCCTCGGGCTCCCTAACCGGGAAAGGAAACCTGTCAGCTTGGAAAAGAAAAGTCGGTTGTGGTGAAGGTTTTGCCTTACTGCATCCCGAGTTGCTTTATTTGTATTTTATTTTAACGTTCTCGCAAGCATATCGACCCATCAGGTCAGGCCCTTTGGCGCGCAAAGTTCTCCTTCCACCTTGGGCAGCGAGATCAAGAAACTCTGAAGGACACAGCTCCCCCGCCCCGGAACCCCGACTTCCTTGGCATACAAAGGCCAGAGCTGGCGCGCCGCAGCTGCCTGGAAGTTTCCCGCGTAGAAACTCCTCCAGGTGGCGCCGCCCACTGGAGGGCGCGGGGCAAAGCGCCGCGTCGGAGACCCGGGGCGCCCGGCGAAGAGCCAAGCTGGGACGAACCCTGCGGAGAGCAGGGGAGGGAGGGCGCTCCGAAGATTCCTGGAGCGGGGGTGTTGGGAGGAGGAGGAGGCCAATCTCCGAGCGCCTGCGAACTTTATTGGGTTGAAAAGTTTCTTCTGCTGTCGCCTCCCCCTTGCGTGCGGAGCTGTGCCTTGCGTGCGCTGCTTCTGGAAAGTCGGCTCTAGTCATATCCCTCGGCGCTTCTCACGGCACCTGACACGCGGAGGCGGCGGCGGGGGCGGCGGCCGAGGGCGGGATGCCGACCGCCACCACCCTCCGCGGCGCACGCACAGCCGCACCCTCCCGGGCCACCACTCTAAGGCCGGGTCTGGGCGCGCGCGCGCGCGCTCTGAACGGACGCGCCTGCCCAAGGGGAAGCCCCACGGCGCAGCACCGTTTCCAGCCGGCTGGTACAAAGTATTTTAAAGACCCTAGAGAGAAAAGATCTTTTCCCAAGGGTTGGGGAAAGGGCGAGCCCGGGGGATGAAGGGTAGTTATTCAGGTAGGAAGTGTGCTTCCGAGCCTCGGGGGTTATCTAGAGTAAGTAAAGTTGGGCGCTTACCAAGTAACAGCCGTGGGCTCTGAGGTTTACCGGTGCTGCGAATCTCTGCTGTGCGCCAGTTTACAGATGAGGAAACGGGCTCAGAAAGGTTATATGATTTACCCAAGTTCACACGCATACATTTACAATCATACGCTATAATCTTAAATGATTTATTTTTCCAAGTAAATGATTAAAGTGCTTCCCTGGGCAAAGTGAGGTGGTTCTCTACTCCCCCACTCTCCCTCTTATTAGCTAGTTAAGAGGTGGACCCAGGATTTGAACCTACGAAGTTGCACTCCAGCTCCGTGGTACTCGTTTATGCTGAAAAGCCTCAGATAAAAGGCACAAATGCATTCTTTCCTGCCTGCCTTAAAAAAAAAAAATCAGCTGGAAGAATTTTTTAAAATAATTTCTGGGGTTTTTGGCTGGGGTAGGGCAGGGAGATTTGTTTTAGAGAATTGAATCTTGAGGATTCTAAAGAAATAGTATGCTCATCTTTTGCAGGTAAATTGGTTTTGAGTGAAGGAGGCCTGTGGACTGTGCTTCATAGCTGACTTTGAAATAACTGGTTAAATTCTAAAGAAAAATAAAGAGACTTCTTAAGAGTTTGACTTTTTGAAAGGTTGAAACCAACATTAAAATATCTTACCTGATAAGAAAATGCCTTTTTGTAAAATTCTCCATTCAGTAGCTTTTGAGAGGTTCTCTGGAAATGAATTCATACTTTATTATGGGGTACTCAGTTCTGAAATAGTTAGTTTTTGAGCAACTGAGTAAATAGGAATTGGTTTCCCAGGGTTCTGCTGGCATATGCATCATTTGAAATGAATTTTGTAGCAACCTTATAATATCTAGGTTTAGCAAGACCCTTGTCTAATAATTGAAGACTGCCACAGGTATCAGACTTGAAGTTAGTAGACAAGGATTGTGTATGGGCTACTACCAATTTTGAGCTGGCAACGTTCCTGAAAGCTTTTATCACAGTATTTCTACCAGAATCAGAGGAATGGATGTGCTTTTAAGCCAAGTAAATACCTATCTTAAAAACCACAAAACAGAGCTGTTTCTAAGACCTCCTATATAGCTTTTAGATAAACTAGATACATACCTGCCTGCCACAGCATATAGTTCAACATACCCTCCAAGCCATGATGCCCTGGACTCAGCTCTTGTTGCAGGACAAGACTTTAAAAGGCAAAGGAACCAGTTGGGTAAATGCTGTCAGAAAGATAGGCCTTATCAGTTAGGACAAGCCAAAAAGACTGGCTATGGTAACCCTGGGCTTTGGTTTCTCCCAGGCTTTTTGGCGTAGACCTCTGTTGGAAGGCCCATCCAGTATTGATGAAGACTCAGGGTAAATCCAGAGAGACCTGCGGGTCCCCTTGACGCAGCTCATGGTGGAGCCCTCACTCTAGTGAATATCCATACCAGACTCTTAAGTTATCAGATTCTCAAAGCCAGTGTCTAAAGCCCAGGGATCTCCTTTCAGTCAGTGACACACAATATGGGGATTTTGCCCACCCCAAAACTCACATTTGAATTGTTTGGTACAGATAATTTTCAAAAGAACAGCAAAGCTAGAGAGAGAGTTCAAAGAAGAAATTTAAAATACCTTGTATTGAGTCCATAGAATAGAAATCCAGCTTAAGCTTGTTTAAGCAGGACAGGAATGCATTGGCTCACAGGAAGGAAAGGATAAAGGTGGTACCTCACAGGATGGAAAGACCTGGGGCTGCTCTCCCACTGTCTAGCATGGTCTCTGCTTGGGCTTCATCCCATATACTTTCTTCACGCAGCAGGAAAGCTGGCCATGGGCAGCCTCAAATTAACCACCCCCCCCAAAAAAAAGAAAACATGTCCTTTTCAGGGTCATTATTCAGGCCCTTGGAAGGACTCCATTGTGCCAGCTTGGAATCAGGCCATCCCTGTGGCCAAAGGGCTAAGTTTCTTTTCAGAAAGAGAGATGGGGGTAGGGAGAATATGCTAGGAAAGAAAAGGTAAGAGGCCCCTCTGTCCTGAGGTATCCTGCTTCTGTCCTTCACTTCATTTTGGGTGAAGGATAACCCAAAATAATAATAATAATTATAAATCAGCAAGTGAGATAGATGCTTTTTTAAAAAAATCAGTTTTTGCAGTGTTGGATCTTCATTGCTACATGCGCTTTCTCTAGTTGCAACAAGTAGGGGCTACTCTCTACTTGCAAGGCGCGGGCTTCTCATTGCTGTGGCTTCTCTTATTGCAGAGCCCTGGCTCTAGGCTTCAGTAGTTACAGCATGTGGGCTCAGAAGTGGTGGCTCCCAGGCTCCAGAGCACAGACTCAGCAGTTGTGGCTGGCTCTCAGGCTTAATTGCTCCAAGGCATGTGGGATCTTTCTGGATCAGGGATCAAACCTGTGTCTCCTGCGCTGGCAGTCAGACTCTTTACCACTGAGCCACCAGGGAAGCCCCAAGATAGATGCTTTTTGCCTGGAACCCATAGCCAAGAAAGCTCAGCCTTTATGTCATCAATAGAGAAGCTGGTTTTCTTCATGGGATTTTGCTTTAGCAGCTCTTCGATATGGCTAGTTATGTACCTAAGACTAAACACAATACCCCAAAGATGGGATCTTGTCCAACCCTGAGAGCTGTGGTTACTTCCCACCAACCATGCAGAGTTTCTTTTAATGCAAACTAAGTTGTAGGGCTATTTTAAAGTATCTAAGCTTGTGATAAATTAAGGTCTTTATCTTTTATCTTAAGACTTAATACCACTCAGAGTCTTTCATTGCACTTGTGCAATTGATTTTTAAAAAAAAACTAAATATGAGATTTTACATTTATTTCTATTAAATACATTTGGAAACTTCCAGCCCATGGAGTCCATGTTGATGGAGTCCAGGTCTTGTGGCCTCTGAGGCCCAGAGATAAAAACAAAAGCTGGAACGTAATATGGAGAAAACAAGTCTAGTGGCCAGATGACCACTGGCCCACTCTGAACTACTTCTATGACAAAAATCTTTGGACTTTGGTTTATGTTATATATCTACATTATTATGCATATACAATATTATATATATCTAAATATGTAATATTTCATATTATAATATTAGGGCTTCCCAAGTGGCGCTATTGGTAAAGAACCCACCTGCCAATGCAGGAGACTTAAGAGACGCGGGTTCAATCTCTGGGTTGGAAAGATCTCCTGGAGTAGGAAATGGCAACCCATTCCAGTATTCTTGCCTGGAATATTCCATATACAGAGGAGCCTGGTCCACTGCAGTCCATAGGGTCACACAGAGTCAAACATGACTGAAGCAACTTAGCACTCATGCATGTTATAATATTATACAATTTGTATATATTATTTTTCAGTTTTGACCAGATATAAATTCTTAAAACACACACACGCATAGTATATAAACAGGCTCTTGTTGCAAAAGATTCAATCAGTATATAAAAACATGCAGAGAAATAGGGAAGCCCATACTCCTACCCCTTCTCAGATGCAGCCACAAGAACCATGTGTCTTCCATTTATGTATAGCATATGCTTGTACATATGTATGTATTTTTAATACAAATGAGATCATACTAAAATTACTGTTCAGTGATTTTTTTCAACTTAACAATTGTCTTGGCGACTTCAACAGAAGGTATAGATCTACTTACCACATGCTTTTAAACTACTGCATAATATGACTGTAACATAATTTATTTAGCCATTTCTCTTCAAAGACCGTTTGTGTTCTTTCCAACTTATTTGAGACTCCATTGCGGTGACTTCAGTTTTCTGTGCAATTCTCTATATATTCGCAAATGTTTTCCAGTGGAGAAACTTGAACCAAAGGGGTATGCATGTTAAAGGGTCTTGCTACCACTCCCTTGCCTTCCACAAAGATGGCCAGTTTGCATCTAGGACCTGGGGTTTTGTACCCAGTAGCATGTGCCAAAAAACTTTTCCTTCTAGAATGATTGCTTTAATTTAGCTTTGCAAATGTAGAATGAAAACAAAACAAAAGGATTAGTTGTCTTTCAGATCTGTTCTTTACTTTAAAGAATTGGTATGCTTGTGCTCAGATCATCTCCTCTTCTTGACAGATGAGGGAAATCCCTAGATTAAAGCTGATAAGACATTGGGGGGAGCATTCCAGATTTCCATATCTCTGTGGAAGACATCATAGAGGCCAGGGTGGGAGAGTGACCTTAGCGTGCCTCGATGTCCCCTCCAAGATGATGACAGTTCTTTACAGGCCTCTGGGCACAGGCCCAAAAAGCCTTCTGGGCTTGTCTAATCCTCCAGAGGAGATTAAAAGCAGTAAAGCCAGCATAACACATCATTAGGAGTTTGGCTTCTGGAGCCAGGCACTCTTGGGTGTGAGGCCCAGCTCTCTGACTTATAAGCAGTGACCTTGGCCGTGGTAGTTAACTCTTCTTAGCCCAAGTATCCTCATTTGTACAAGAGGGATCATAATATCCCAACCACAGGGGGTCACTGTGAGGATTAAATGAGATATTGTGAGGATACAAATTAGCACAGCTGATGGCAAAGAGTGAGTTCTCAATAAAACCTAGCCATTATTTATTATTGTTACTACTAGTACTATGCCCTTATTCCTGTCCAATAAAATCAGAGTCACGCAAGGACTTGGACCTCACAGAGATAAACATAGCCTGCTTGGTTCAGTGTGACGCTCTGGGGTGACACACCCTCACCCAACCGCCTGCAACCTCCTGGAAGCCTAAGAAGACAACAACCATGGCCTCTTTTTCTTTCTGAGGCAGCACATGGTGGTCAGTAGTCCCCCACTCCAGAGCCAGCCAGGGTCCGAGTCTGCCTCTACCACTCATAACCGAGTGACTCTAGCTGCTGCAAATCGCTTTCTGGGTCCAGTTCACATTTGGGTAAAACAGAGACCACGCCAGTACCTACTTCAGGACTAAATGAGCTAATGCATGTACAGCTTTTAGAAGACCAGTGTCTGGTACCGGGGAGGGGCTCAGACACATCAGCTATGATCATTACTCTGAGGGAAGCCATTTGCCGCTGCCTGAAAAGGTCAACCTCAGAGCCATCTGCTCTTGGCAGAAGGGCTCAGCATCAACAGCCAGTTTGCGTTTTCCTCCAGCTCCCAGATGGAGCCATGCAGTACTTCTTCCTCACCTTGTTTCACCTCACTCAGATGGACACACTCCACTTCAGGACCCTCACAGCAGAGGCAGTTCTTTAGGCAGGAGGATGCCATGCTCCCAAAAGATCCCGGAGGAGGCCGAGCCAGGTGCCTTCCTCCAAGCCAGGCTCTGGGCCAGTCCCTCCCACAGAGCGGAGGATCTGGACAGCACTCGGGCCGTTGCTGCCAGGGAGAGTTAAGAAAACGACAGTCCACACGGTGCAAACAGGAGAGGACCCCAGGGAGTTCTGTCGTGGGACCTCCGGGGGTTGGCATGAATGAAGCCATGCTCCCTAGCTCCCCAGAAGAGACCACCTACACTCCTCCCAATACAGGTCTGGGTGAAAGTGGACTGTGGCTCAGACCTGCGGCCCCCAGAACATCGAACAGCTGCACTGAGGAAGCTCAGGCCGTCTGGGGAGCCCGGACCAGAAGGCTGGGCAAGAAGTCTCTCCACCCTTCCTTGTTAACTGCCAGAGAGGAAACGCTCCCCTGGCCACAGTGGAAAGTTGAATTCAGTCGTCTGTACTGTGGCGGTGACTAACCTTCTTTCCTTGAACTATTGTGCTGAGTCAGCCTGTGGCTTATTTGTTTTACGGGTTGGATTGCAGAAGGAAGTCAGGACTTCTTAGATTCTGAGCCTTGGCAGCCCGCACCACCACCTGTTTTCAGGTGTGGCTGGTGCCTCTTACCAGGCCCCCAGGGCTCTGTCCGCGGTCCCAGGTTGCTGGGTCACCTCATGGAGTATCCGGGGCTCTGGAGTAAAATGGAAGGCTCCATCCCGCTTCAGAACTCATGGCAGGCTCTGAGCCAGTGGGAGTCCTCGTGCCCTCCCCCTGCTGGATTCTGGGTATCATGCCTGCAGCCTCCGAGGCAGCTCAGAGAGGTGAAGATCAGATTACAAGCGTCATTTCATTTAACGGAATAACCACCCCAACAGTTTTGAGTGCCGCATGCAGAACTCTGTGCCCAGTGAAACGAGAGGACGATCCTCCTCTCCGATGCTGTAGCCGTGAGGTCAGCCCAGGGCTCACTCTCCTCCAGTCTGTTGGAGTGCAGAACACCACAAAGCAAGTTGGGACAGAGAGAGGAAAGGAGTTAATTTTCCCTCCAAGTGTTGGGCACTGTATTCAGTGCTTGACAACTTCGCTTGCTTCTCCCGATCATCCTAAATATATAGCCACCATTAGCCTGCTTTACATGTAAGAGGATTAAGGTTCAGACACGATGGACTATTTGCCAAAAGTCTTACAGGTTGCAAGTGATTTTTTAATTTTTTATTTTGTATTGGAGTATAGCCGGTTAACAATGCTGTGATAGTTTCATGTGAGCAGGAAAGGGACTCAACCACACATATACATGTATCCATTCTCCCCCAAACTCCCCTCCTATCCAGGCTGCCACATAACATTTAGCAGAGTTCCCTGTGCTATACAGTAAGTCCTTGTTAGTTATCCACTTTAAATATAGCAGTGTGTACCCATGCATCTGAAACTCCCTAAGTATCCCTTCCCCCTATTCTTCCTCTCTGGTAACTGTAAATTCATTCTCTAAGTCTATGAGTCTATTTGGTAAATAAGTTCATTTGTATCTTTTTTTTTTTAGATTCCACATATAAGGGATATCATATGATATTTCTCTTTCTCTGTCTCACTCAGTCAATATGACAATCTCTAGGGGTCAAGATCTGTACTCGGGTCTACAGGCTCCAAAGCCCATCCAGACCACAGCGGTCCACACTTGTTAACTGATTGCCAATGTCATGAACTGTACCGCAGCCCCTCCCTTCTGATCCTCCACTGTGTGTATACACTTCCCTGGCACCCACATGCCTGTTAACGACCTGGGTGATCCCAAACCTCTCCGTATGCCCCCAGGAGAGCTGACATCCCCCAGGAGGCCAGGACCCCACCAGGAAAAGCCATCTTGGTTCCCGTGTGAGATGCAATTCAGGCCTGCCCTCTCCTCTCCTAGTGGAGAAAATTGCTATCTGTCCTGCAGAGTTCAGTCTCTGTAATTTACAATCCAGTCTTGGGATGGTTTTGAAAAAATTTCCTTTAAAACAGTGGCTGGAATGCAGCCTCCACATGGGCTTCATGACTAGATCTGCTACATTCAAATGCATTATATTGAACTTACTATAAAATTCACACTATTCTAGACTCCCAGAAATGACAGTTTTATTTAGAAATAAGTGAGCAAAGTGATGACTTCATTGGTCCCAATGCCAAAATCTTAGCTCAGTGTTTCTCAAATGTTTCGTGTTCAGGACCTCTTTCTACTCTTAAAAAATGCTGCAGAAACCAAAAAGCTATTGCTTCATCTAAGTTTTATCTAAATTCCATGGACAATGGAGCCTGGCGGGCTATAGTCCATGGGGTTGCAAAGAGTTGGACATGTCTGAGCATCTGAGCACACATGCACGCATTTACAATTTTAGAAATGAAATTTATTTATTAAAAAATAATAAACCTAAAACATGTTTACAGAAATACCATATTAGAAAATATCTTTGTTTTCCAAAACAAAAAATATTTAGTAAGAGTGGCATTGTTTTACATATTTTCCAAATCTTTTTAATTTCTGATTTAATAGAAGACAGATGAATACTCATATCTGATGCTGTAACCAATCTGTAATGATATCGAATGTCAGGTAGCCCCTGAAAGACCCCTGGTGGTCTTGCGAGAGAAGAATGGGAAGAAGGGCAAAGACTACCCTAAGACAATAGTTTTAACCTTGTGGATTTCCTGAAAGCATCTCAGGAACCACCCACCCTCCCAAGAAGTCCCCGGGCCACACTTTGAGAATCACCATCTCAGTTCAAATATTTGATTTTTCTTGTGAGAAAAATCCATCCAGAAGTATTAATATCTAAAGAACTATGGTCTTGATGTAGGAATTTGGTGGCAGTGAGGGTAGATTTCAGAGCAAACATGTCCCAGTGACTGATTTTCAGAGGAAAACCCCTCAGACACATGTGGGCACTTCTAAACAGCTTGGCTATCACAGAGGTACCACCCCCAGACAATGGGTCTAGTGGGGATGCTACACCTTAACCCCCAAGCAGGGCCAGAAGGAAGAGGCAGAGTGGTACCCACATCTCTGCTGCCTGGAGACCAGGTGATGTCTGAGTCAGCAACCCAGAGAGCATGGCTCAGAGGAAGGGGGTGGGGAGCTCCTGCTCAGGTGTGGGGCCAGAGGTCATCTAAGCCACATCCTGAGATCACAGTGGCTCTTTTATTAGTAGCTCTGCCAGTAATAACCATGGTAATAGTAATAATGTACTACTAGTAATAGAAGAACTACCATTTATTGAGCACTCTGAGCCAGGCAGAGTGCCAAGCACTTGACATGAATCATTTTATTAATCCTTCACAACCAACCCTCTAAAGTAACTGTTAACCATAATCCCTTTCCTACAGACAAAGTAAGACAGAAGGAGTTGGCATTATCAACCAAGGCCATGCAGCTCCTGTGGTAGCTGAACTGAAATGTGAATTCCAGTCTACCAGATCCCAGAGGCACCCTGCAACCTCCCCACTAGGCCAGGTAAGCAAAACCCTAAAAGCAGGAGACATGAACATCACTGGTTCCTATTAGATGAAGCACAGGGACAGAATGGACACCTTCTCCCACTCCAACCAGCCTTTTGGAGGCTTCAGAGCTGAATTGTAGGGATTTCCTGGTGGTCCAGTGATTAAGACTTTACCTTCCAACTCAGGGGTTCGTTCCCTGGTCAGGGAGGTGGGATCCCAGATGCCTGTCAGTCAAAAACAACAACAAAACAAAAAATAGAACAGAAGCAATGTTATAACAAATTCAATAAAGACTTGAAAAATGGCCCATGTTTTTTAAATCTTTTTTTTTTCTTTTTAAAAAAGCTGAATTGTAATGGGGTCTTCAAGAGTGAGGGAGGTGGGGTGCTGAGGTGACAGCTTTTGGTGCATGGGTCCTTCCCTTAGTTACAGGCCCCTCCCCTCCCCACACAAGGCCCCTCTGACCTTCCAAGAGTCCTGCCACTGTTGACACCAGCCAGGAAGCACAGGCATTGGCCCACCCACCTCTACTCCCCTCCCTGAAATCTACAAGATCTACCCCCTTTTAAAGCCCCAACATGGGGTTCTTCAGACTCCTGCTCCCAGCAGACCAGCTGGCACAAGGCCACCTCCACATCCCACCCCTTCTGAGCTCAGCTGCCCAGAGGTGTGAATTTCCCATAAGCAAGCTCAACCCTCCACTCCCATTCCCTGAAAAAGCAAATAGAGATCGTGTGAGAATTCTCTTCCAAGGCATCATACCTTCTCCCTAACCAGAGGCTCCAAGGAGTTCAGCTTTGCACGAGCTTTTAATTTGCGTGCAGACAAGCACAAAAGACTCAACCGGATATACCTGTTATTTCCCAATGACCTGAGAGCCCGAAGTTTATGTTAAGCCCTGGGTTAGGGCTCGGCTTGCACGCAAGGCTCCAGGACTCCTGCAGGCAATTGAGAGGTGCTGGTGGAGAGGACAGAGGAACAACTCTGAAGTGACAGCACATAATTTAATTCCCCCTAAGCTTTCCAAGCATGCAGACTGTTCCTTTTTTGTCAGCGTATAACCTAAGTGATTTGTTCTACTCAGGCAAGAAATGTCTAATTTAAACCATATTGCAGCTAAGCCCTCAGTGGAGAACGAGAGCTCCCTGCAGCTTGGCTTGTGCGTGGAGGGGCCGGGTGGCAGCTGAGGCGAAGCAGACTCTTGCAGCCCCCGTGTTTCTTACCCAACTCATGATTGGAGAAACATGCATTCTTGGGCTTTAATCACCACACTCACTCTTCTGACTCGTGCTTCACCCCTCGTGAATGGGTTTAATTTTAGTAAGAATGTTTACAGGAGAGTGTTGGCTTGATGTCTCTGATGTCCTCAGTCTGAGTTCCCTCTGAGCCACCACTGGCTATGGGACTTCAGGCAAACCTCTTTTTTTTTTTTTCATTAATTTTTATTAGTTGGAGGCTACTTACTTTACAATATTGTAATGGTTTTTGCCATACATTGACATGAATCAGCCATGGATTTACATGTGTTCCCCATCCTGATCCCCCCTCCCACCTCCCTCCCCATCCCATCCCTCTGGGTCTTCCCAGTGCACCAGCCCTGAGCATTTGTCTTATGCATCCAACCTGGGCTGGCGATCTGTTTCACACTTGATAATATACTTGTTTCAATGCTATTCTCTCAGATCCATCAGCAGACAAATGGATAAGAAAGCTATTGTACATATACACAATGGAATATTACTCAGCCATTAAAAAGAATACATTTGAATCAGGCAAACCTCTTAAATGCCAACTGCTGTTTCACTGTTTTCTCTTCTTTGAAAAATAGCCGGGAGGGTGCAGGTTGACACATTTCAGTGGAAAGTGACCAGGTCTAGAAAGAAAGAGATCTGTGTTCCAACCCTGCTTTGCCCCTAATTAGCTGTGGATTTGAGACAAGGGACTTTTCTGTAGGCTTCTCAGGTGGTGCAGTGGTTAAAGAATCTGCCTGGCAATGAAGGAGACACAAGAAATGCAGGTTCGACCCCATGGAGTAGGAAATGTCAATCCACTCCAGTATTCTTGCCTGGAAAATAACATGGACAGAGAAGCCTGGTGGACAGCAGTCCATGGTGTCGCAAAGAGTCGGACACAACTGAGCATGCATGCACTTTTCTCTGGTCATCAATTTCCTCATTTGTTTTTAAAATGAGGGAGTTGGCAGAGATGGTCTTTAAAGTTCCTTCAGCTCTAAAAGACTATGTATGTCCTAAACCACTTCTAGCTTGACAAAATAATCACCATTGTTATTATAATTGTTATTATTATCTGATTCCCTTCTATAATTCCAAAGATTTCACTAGCCAGGAAAATCTTTCTTTTACTTTTTTTTTTTTAAATACTTTTATTTGCCCAACTTATATGAAGGATACTTACTGCCCTCTCTCCCGACTATAGGATTTCATGTGGAGGCTCTGCATCTGTCTCATTCTCCACTGAATTATCAAATTTCCCCCACAGCCACGCCAGACTATTAAAAAGTGGTCTATAAACACAGGCTCCAGTTCACGGCTGTTCTCTCAGCCAAAAGTGCCCCTTCCCATTTGCTGCTGTGAAAATTCTCTTTCCTTTTCCTCCCTTCCCCATCATGGAATGAATTGTTTTCCCCTCTGGATCCCTTGAGCAATTTGCACTGTGATTGCATTGATTTTATTCTATCTGGTGTTATTTTTGGTTTCCTATCCAGCATATCTCTGCTCAGCTAGACCCTTAGGACCTGGAAATCACTGGGGACTTGGTCATGTGTATAGCCCAGCCTCCCCGCTGTCCTCTCCCTTCCCCCAGCACCTGGTATACATTCAGTGTTCATAGAGGAATTAAGTTGTTGAACCCTGTGGATTTCATCCTAATGGGATAAGAATGCTCCTTGGGTTAGAAGTTCACAGTCAGCCAGGGTTGAGCAGTGCAGATCCCCACCTGCCCCCCACTAAAGTTCACGTAGGCTGGTGATAAGAGGGAGGCTGTGGACTGAGGGTGATGTTTGGAGGTCCCAGGAGAAAGCTGGCTTTTGAGTGGTAGGCAAAGTTGGTCTAGCCTCACTTAGTAAAAGGGGCCACATATGCCCTTAACTTTCGCCAGGCTTAGAACCAGCCAAATGACCCTCCTGTCTGTATGTTTTGTAAATAGGACTCAACTCAGGTTGCTTGGGAGCTTTTCTGAAACTCTAAAAAACAAAAATTGCTTTTTAGCTATATTTGCTTATACTCCTCCTTCTTCCAGTATATGGTAACTTCCTATTTTTTTAAATTTACTCCGCCCCCCCCCCCCCCCACCCAGTTTACTTACTTACTTAATTTTGTGGCCGTGCTGCACAGCATGTGGGATCTTAGTTCCCTGATCAGGGCTCAATACCCATGCCCCTGAATTGCAAGCACAGAATCTTAACCACTGGACCACCAGGGAGGTCCCCGTAACTTCCTTTGAACATTTCCACTTGCCCTACCCTGGAATGCATCTAGGTCTTTGCTGCCTTTGGTGTAAAGTCTTGTTAGAAGACATCAAGTTCTGTGTGATTTGGCTTTTCTCACTAAACGTGAATTCTAATTTAAAACAAATTCCTTACTCTTTACTAGGTAGAGATTTTGCAGAAAACCAGATTCTCATTTTTAAATGAATGAGAATTCAAAAAGTTAGCCTAATGAAAAAAAGTTTAGGTTCAGAGCCTTTACACACAGTGGCGGTTGTTGTTAATTTGCTAAGTTATGTCCAACTCTTTGTGACTCCATGGACTGTAGCCCTCCAGGCTCTTCTGTTCTTGGGATTTCCCAGGCAAGAATACTGGAGTGGGTTGCCATTTCCTTCTCCAGAGGATCTTTCTGGATCAGGGATCAAATCTGCATCTCCTGCATTGTCAGGCAGGTTCTTTATCGCTGAGCCACTAGAGAAGCCCTGAGCATAGTGGTAGAGAAATGGAAAAGCCATGTTGTTGAAAAGGTGATTTTAAATTCAACAGAGGTTTTACAATCAAAACACACAGAGAAATTTTGTCATGAAGAGTGACATAACAAAGAAACAGATTCTGAGATCCACCTTTGATTTTAGTGCTTCCGGGGAAGGTGGCATCAAGGATTCTGCACATTTTGAGCAATTCCTTCAGAAAAGGATCAAGTTCATTGAAAAGGCTCCCCATCTTGCTAAAGATATATAACTATTGAAAGAACCAAAGGTCAAGATAACTGTGTTCTCAGAGGTACCTTTTTCTTAAAATATGTGAATTATCTCACCAAAGATATTTGAAAAATCTGCATGGTTGGTGCACACAGTCACTTTTAGTGGGCCCCAGCTCACTACAAACCAGAAGAGGAGGAGAGGTCATTTCTTGGTGACCAAGAGACAGGAGGTTGGGAATTCACTGGAGGGTAGTTAGTGTCCTTTGTCTTTAACATCGGGATAAGCATGACACATGCAAATTTACAAAACATCTCACGGAGTGAGATGAGAGAGAAGGCTGAGACAAGTTAAATAAACACTTGAGACACACAGCAGATAAAACCTGTTTGCTGCCACAAGTGCCATGGGGGAGCAGCATTCCTGAACCGGAGGGGAAATGAATGAAATCTCAAGTCTCAGAGGGGAGAGGTGGCTAAATGCTGACCTTTCCCCTCCCAGCCCAGTTGGAATGCTGGCTTAGAGAAAAAGGAAGGGTTGAGGGGTTTTTACTTTTATGTTTTATTACATCTCAGAAATGACCATGAACAAGGCAAAGCTGATTCTCACAGATAAGCCAGGGACCAAGGAAGGTAGTGGTGGTTAGAAGCTGGTGGGTGATAGAGGAAAGTGTCTCCAGCGTTTAGGTCAATAGATCAGAGCAGAGAAATGAAAGTGCAATAAGAACATCTTTGAGGAAAAGCCAGTCAGTCGTTTTCCTTTCTGAATTAAGAAGGGACATTTCAAGTCCAGGAAGGGTAGGGGTGAAGGAGAGGAAAGAGCCAGGAATGTGGGGAAGTTATATGATATCTGACCTCATAATCTCTCCCAAACAATTTTTTTTTTAAAAAAACTTTTTATTTTATATTGGAGTATAACCGATTAACAATGTTGTGATAGTTTCAGGTGGACAGCAAAGGGACTCTGCCATATGGATACATGTATCCATTCTCCCCCAAACTCCCCCAACAATTTCTGTGATGATTGTGACACCAAGTATATAGGTAGCCCTTCACGTCTGCTCTAAGGATGTCTGTTTATCAACACGAGGAGAAGTTGGTGGCAGAATTTCATGACTTGCAAGGTGTTTGTGACACAGGAAGAAGCAGTGTCTTCCCTAAGTTCCGAGGGCCCTGGTGACACTTCTTTGGATTTAAAACTTTTCCTTGAAACTCTTGAGCATTGTGAAATGAGAGAAAATGTTTATCTTAGAGTTGTAATAGCACCAACCCCAACCTCAATGGCGAAAGTTTTAAATCCTCTGGAATAATTAGCCTAGAAAATGCAGGAGTCAAAACTGCTTTACAAAATCTGAAGGGAAGGGAAAGATGAAGCCAGAAGGCCAGTAGAATGTGTGTATATACATGAGAAACATTCCTCACCTGTCGTTGTTTGGGGGGTGCAATCATCTATGCATGTGTCTATGTGACATATTTTTACATATTTAGTACAAATTATGTGTATTAAGCTGTGGTGGTGGTTGTTTAGTCGCTAAGTCATGTTCGACTCTTGCGACCCCATGGACTATATAGCCCACCAGGCTCCTCTGTCCATGGGATTTTCCAGGCAAGAATACTGGAGTGGATTGCCATTTCCTTCTCTAGGGGATCTTCCCAACCCAGGAATCGAATCCAGGTCTCCTGCATTGCAGGCAGATTCTTTACTGACTAAGCTATCTGAAAACAAAACCAGATGAGCTCCGATCCCCAGCTTTTTTTATCCTAAAGGCATATTACATGGATATCCAAAAGTTCTGAAAGGAGGATCTTAAAT